GCGAAGTACACTGGCAGGAGGCGGGGCTCGCTGCGGGCACACCAGCAGCAGGCAGGGCCTGGTGTGTGTACGCGGGCGGCAGGCGGGGCTCGGCGTGTGTATACGGGCAGGAGATGGGGCTCAGCGTGTGTATACGGGCAGGGGGCGGGGCTGGGGTGTGTATACGGGCAGCAGGTGGGGCTCAGTGTGTATATACGGGCAGCAGGCAGGGCTTGGCGTGTGTATACGGGCAGGAGGAGGGGTTCGCGTGTGTATACGGGCAGGAGGCGGGGCTCGGCATGGGTATACGGGCAGCAGGCAGGGAGCAGGAACCGGGTTTGGTCTGCATGAGGCTCTCCTGTGATTGCGCCTGCTCACTGCAAAGGCACGGCAGCTCGAGTCGGCCTCTCTGGGAAGCCCGCCTAGCACAGCTCCCGCTGCCAGCCTTCCAGGAGCCCCTCTGCGGGCAACGGTGATGCCTGTGGCCCAGGACCTCCAGCTCTCTCTCATCCTCAGCACATCTGTGACCTCAGTCCTGCCCAGAAAGAGGAAGGACCGCCACTGAAGCGGTTGTTTCCAGGCTGGAAGCGGTGTCTGCTCCATTCGGTCGGCCGAGGAGCCAGAGCCGGCCCCTTCGTCAGCTGTAGAGACTGGCCTTCCTGAGCTACCACCAGTCTTAGACCCGGCCTCCATGCCAGCATCTGTGTGTGGCTCCACTCACGAAGCTCTCCGGGCAGCTTCTCTGCAGCTGGGGCAATGGCAAGCCAGGCCTGACGGCCATTTCTCAAACCACCCACACACACACACAGCCCAGCCTGAGTGTGAACGGGCAGGCAGCACGTCCCGGGAGAGCGGGCCGGACTGCAGAGCAGGGACCCCATCAGACTGAGCTCCTCTGTAAGCCAGGCACACTTCATAGGTTAGGCTGGCCCATGCCGACTCTGCCCTGTAATCCCTGCCCACTCAGTATTCTGACCCCACAAGCACAGGGTGAAGGAGAAGGCCCCGCAAAACCTCGGCCAGGCACCAAGTGGCCACGGACAGTGATGGGAAGCGGAGTGTGGTGCCCAGCGAGGCAGTGGCCGGAACTCCGGGAGGACGAGGACAGCCCTGTGTCCCAGACTCTGGGAAGCAGCCCTCCACATCCCTGCAGCAGTGGGACAGTGAAGAGGAAGCCACCCTGCAGCCTCTCCTGGGCCTTCGGGGTCCATGACCTTGCGCCAGCCCCTCCACTCTGAGGCCCCTCCCCAGTAAAATACCTCGGATCATTCTGAGCTCTGAAATTCTACGGGCTCTTGTTGCCCCTCAAGCTCTCCAAACTTGCTTTGGTGGAGCCTGGGCATCGCAAGCAGACAGCAGCCTCTTGGCAGACAGAAAGCCCAAGCAAAACCAACCAGCTATGTAGGAATGATACAAGATACATAAACCACCCAGGCTTGGAAAAAACAACATCTCAAAACAACCTTTTATTGCAATACTGAAGTCAAGAGTGCCGAGCCAAATGAACTGAAAAGGAACTTAAACTCGCGGCGAAGACGCCCACTGCTCATAAATCGGAGAGCATCGCAGGACCCTGGCACGACAGAAGTTGGGGCCGGAGACCACCTGGGGCTGGCCACTCCTTGACTGATGGGAAGCAAACCCAGAGCAGGCCAGGTGGTCAAGGTCAGGACGCAAAGGGTGGGAACCCACATCCTCCCCTCCCGCCGCTTCCCTCTGCCAGGTTCCTTCCCAAGGGCAAGGCTCTAGCCGCTGCTGGTGAGGGCGGCAAGCTGCCGGCCAGGCATGGTAGGACTCCCTCCAGGGCACTGTCCTAAGGATGCACAAATCAGAGATTTCCAGGCCACGGAGACACCCTGGACCAGATCCATGTCCAAATTTTTATTTTTAACTGTAGAAGTCAGAGTGGCCTCCCAGCCTTGTCCTGTTAGCTAGCAGTCAGAAGACCCGGGGAGGCAGAGGGCAGAGAACCACCCCAGGACACGCAGGCTGTCACCTGTACCAGAGTCAGGGGACTGCAGCTTCAGCAAAGCGTCTTTCTCAAGGCCCAACTCACCCACACAGACCTTAACCAACACTGGCCTAGGGACAGAAGGGTCCCCACGTCCAGAGGAGCCAGGAAACCAGAGGTTCCTGTTCTGGGGTGCGGGGCTCTGAGTTGGTCCGGGTGAAGGGAAGGGGCCTGGCCTCTGGAATGGGGTGGGCATGCTGGAGTGGGCAGCCCGGCCAGAGGCCAAGTGCTGTTCTGAGAGAAAGCCCCCCGCTGGCCACCGGGGCCGATCGAGCTTGGGGTGCGGGTGGAGTACCCGGCACAGAAGGGGGCCAGGGCTTCGGCCTGCAGGCGGGCGGGTGGGAATCGGGATGCGGCAGTTCCGGGGCTAGGGTGCAGTGACCCCGGCAGGGCTCGGGGAGGTCGGGGTGCGGAAGTCCCGGTCTTCTCGCGCTCGTACTGGGTGAGCAGCTGCTCGTTGTCCTCGCGCAGCAGCTCCAGCTCCACCTCGTGCTCCTGGTTCTCGCTGAGCACCGAGTCCAGGTTCTCCAGCACGTTCACCACGAGCGGCATAAGCTCCTTGACCACCTCCTCGTCGTAGCAGTGGATGAGGCGCTCGAACTCGCGGTAGATGGAGCCCGCCAGGCCCGACACCC